GCGGCAATGAAGCCTGACAAATAAAACAAAATAGATTAGTAATAAGAACAAAAATGCCCACTACTTATTCTGACATGAATGGCATCCAATTTGACGATTTCATCTCATATAAATCACAAAGAAAATATAAAAGCAATTAAGAATAAATAAGAAGTTTTCACAATGTAGTGATCAGAAACGTAAGCAAGGTATGCGACAGACGCAGGAAAGAAATCTGGCCGGTGATGCTGCTGTTTCACGGTTCGGGCCGAGCTGACTACCGAGGTTGTGTTAATGCCAGATGCCAGGCTCTTGTATTTGCTAGCATTGTCACTGACTCCATGAGATGACAGGTCTGGGCCTTCAGTAAACTGACTTTCAGCCCACAGGTCTCCCTTGCTAGATTAAAGTATCACGGCAAACCATTCTCCCAATAAAACAAATAAAAAACACCATATGTTTCCCCTCTGCCTCACTGGAGAGAACTGTTTGCTTATAAAAAATGATCACATTGTACCAGGCTTAGCTGGATAGGCTCTCATATATAAATTAAAGTCAAACAATGTTTGGAAAAACTGTTTATTATGCCACGCAAAGCTGTTGCGATGATACAGTAGCTGTAACCTCACAAGAGTTTAAATAAAATAATTTGTCTTTAAGTTTTATTTGCTTAAAGAACCTCTTCATATTTAAAAAATTAATGAACTGGAAAAGATCATGTTTCCAATAAACTAGTTCAGCTAGAGACTACTGGACATATGCAGGTTATTTAACTATTCTTAGGAAATGTGTCTGTTATTTAACTATTCTATTTAGTAAGTTAATGACACTAAAGAAATTTCATTTAAATAGGTTTTCTAAGTGCTAGCATGGCTGATTAAATATAAATATTTTATATTATTCTTTTGATGATGACAGTTTTACACAAAGAATCATATGCCTTTAAATATCTTATACCATTTTTACTTATGCATATTTTTACTTTAAAAATGTAGCAACCCCCATTATAATGTATAAACTTGAAAAAGGCTGAATTCTTCAAGACTTTTATTAGTTCTTGCAGGGACGCTTTCTGTGTTTCATAGAAAAGAGTGAGAATAGAGTGATTGTGGGGTGTCCATCTCTGTGCCTGTTGCATTTCTATGGGTTAATGTCTGAATAGCTGGGTCCTGCCAAGGACCTGAACCAAAAACCTGTGTTCTAATCCACTTATTCACTATGCTATTAAATATTAAAGTTGAAAGTGACCTCACATGCAAAAGACAGACAGCATTTTAGCAGTGTCTTCACTTTATCATCTTATAAACCAGATATGCAAGGTCCGGGACTGGTCAAAACAAACATAAACATTATTAGTCACTGTGTCTTGCGTGTCTGTATCAAGATTGAGAACAAATTTACTGAGAGTTCCCAAGATCTTTCACTGAGGGTCAAGACGCAAATTATACCATAGACACGTAGCAGAGCCAGGATGATAACTGAGCTGAGAGCCAGCAGAACAATCCCAGTTCTAAGATAAGATAAGACAAATAAATCTTCACTGATCTCATCCCAAGGGGGATTTTTGTTGTTCAGCAGATTTACATGCATGAATAAATAAAGCATGGTGAAGCATTGTTGACATACAGCATATGCACAAAAGTATTGGGACACCTGGCCATTACACCTACAAGAACTTTCATAACATCCCATTCTAAATCCACAGGCACCAATACAGAGTTGGTCCAATATGGAGTTAGTCCAAGTTTTGCCCATTCAGCCAGAAGAGCATTTGTGAGGTGAGAAGAGCATTTGGGACGTGAAGGCCTGGTTCACAATCTCCATTTTAATTCATCCCAAAGGTGTTCAGTGGGGCTGAAGTTAAGGATCTGTGTGGGCCAATCAAGTTCTTCCACACCAAACTCATCCAACCATGTCTTTATGGACCTTACTTTGTGCACTGGGGCACAGTCATACTGGAACAGAGAAGGGTCTTCCCCACACTGTTCTCACAAAGTGGATGCATGGAATTGTCAAAAAATGTCTTGGTATGCTGAAGCATTAAGAGTTCCCTTCACTGGAACTAAGGGGCCCAGCCCAACCCTGGAAAATAACCCCATACCAATATCCCTCCTCCACGAAACGTTACAGTTGGCACAATGCAGTCAGGCAGGAGACGTTCTTCTGGCATCTACCAAACCCAGACTCGTCTACCAGACTGCCAGACAGAGAAGTATGATTTGTCAACCCACAGAACACGTTTGCCCTGCTCTAGAGTCCAGTGGTGGCATGCTTTATATTATTCCCTCCAATGCTTGGCATTGCATTTGGTGACGTGAGGCTTGCATGCAGCTGCTTGACCATGGACGTGTCAGAACCATGGGCAGCACAACCACCGTGAAGGCTGTTTTTATGTTGTCTATAGTAATTTTAGTTTGTACAAGTAAGACTGCATATATGTAATAGCAGCAGTTGTTAAAAAAACAAAATGTAACACTGTATCAGTGCACAGAAGATATCGCTGGGGTGCTCGTGCTCATATCTTCTGCACAGTGATACGACTGATGTGTGGAGTTCGGTAGAAGGAAATAGTTCTTACATTGAACAACTCACTACCAAGTCTGTGGAGTAACCAGGTCATGATTTCTGGTAAGAGACATTGCTGTTGAATTTTTCATTTGTATTTTTCTGGCACTTTAATCACCACAGAAAGAAGTAGCCTTTCACTCTCATTAAATTTGAAGGGAAGCCCAACATTTCTATGCCTAATATCTTCAAAACTAATTCTCAGCAGAACAACGTAGATGGATAGACAGCACTAATTCTTATCTAAAACATAACTTTTATCAGTTTTGGGGTGAACTGCTACTTTAACCAGTTGCAAGATAGATGATTTACTGTGTGAGAAAGTTACCTTAGGCTGATTTAACCAAATTCAGTATTTTTGGTTCATATGTTTTCATACGGGATGGCACAGTGGTTAACACTCACATCTCTGGAACCTGGGTTTGAGTTTCTACCACAGTAGTTTCCATGTTCTCCCCATGTTGTTGTGGGGTTTCCTCGGCTACTCTGGTTCCCCCCACACTACAAAAACATGCTGAGGCTGATTGGGTTTGCCAAATTGCGTGCGTGTGCATGGGTGAGTGAATGGTTTGTAAGTGTCCCCTCTGAAGTGTTGGCACCTCATCCTGGGTTATTCTCTGCCTTGTGCCTATAAGTTCTGGATCTCCTGTGACCCAGAACAGGATAAGCAGTTTCAGGAAATGGATGAATAGATGGATGCTTACATACATGTATATGTGAGTAAGGACTTTAATGCAACAAAAATCCAACAATAAATCAAAGCCAGTAATAACTGTCAAGAGACAAAGGACTCAGAAGCAGGTGTGGAAGTTAAATAAACAGGGGCTTTACTGAACATAAGAAACTGAGATGAAACAAATGGGATCATGAGGGATCTAAAACTGGAGCACAGGAACAAAGGAGGGCATAGATTACATGCATGTTCACCATCAGTGCTTTGACTGGGGAACACAGGACTGGAAAGCACTTAGACACATGACTAACAAAGGAGCAAACAAGAGGCAGCTAGGAGTGATTAACACGAGGGTTAGGAATGGGAGGTAAGACAAATGGCTTGTTAAGCCACACTAGGGAAGAAACAGGAAGGTTTGATAGGCAGGCTGTGACAATAACCAAAATATAAGAATATATATTCATGGTTCCATACTAGACAGAAAGATACCAGTAACATGAGAAAAGCATTTATTTAAAAAATATTGGTACAGCAGAGGATAACGATGATTATATGAAAAACTGGTTGAGGGGCATGTATTTGCCTGTCTACTTCTGCATAATATTAACCATTCCTCTGTCAGTGACATTAAATTAACATATTGACTGTATATGATAAAGCATCCTTCAAGATTTCACATCAATGCTCGTGACTTTGGGCATACATCTAAACCTCTTATTCTGATAATTAGAGGAAAAGTAACAATGGCTGCCTCAGCTAAAGGTCACAGACTATCTTCACTTTAAGAAAAAATTGGATGCTTAACAAATAAAACAAGTCATAAAACTTCTTGTACTTTATATGTGCTAACAAATAAAATCTTTTATTATTAATTCCTGATAAAACAGAATATTATAATTGCTACATTCATTCACTCAGATATTTTTACTTCCTAAAAGTGCAGGAATTGTTATGAATGTTTGTATATAAATGTTATTTTGAAAATTAAGTTTACTGATCTTATTCATGCTATTCAATATGCACTGAAGACATTTATTCTAAGCAAAACACTACTGGGCAAATCTCATCTCCCATTGTAGAATAGAACCCAATTCCAGATTAGTAGCCCACTCGAAGAAGAATTTGAAGTGATCAAGGCAAAAGTCAAACTTTCATTTATTATAATTCTGCCAAGACTTCCACACAGCAA